ACCGCGGGGACGGCGGCGGACCCTTCTTCGGCCTGCACGCCAGCCCCGGCCCCAAGGCGGCCCAGGCGCGCTACACGTCGCCCAAGGGCACCAAGTACGTGGTCTTCTACCTGGACCTGTCCTTCATCTTCCTTCTAGAGCTGAAGCGCTGCGGCATGGCGCGCGGCTGCCTCCAGGGCGTCAAGTACCTCATGTTCGCCTTCAACCTCCTGTTCTGGGTGAGTGGCGGCGGGGCGCGGGTATCGGGGACCCCGGGTGGCGCTCCGGCCCGGCGTTGATGCTGGGGCTCCGGGAGAACCGAGGGTCGCTGCCCCGCTAGGATGGGGCGGGACACGAGCGCCGTAGCCTGGGGGTACCAGGGTCACTGCTCTGGCTGGCGGCCAGGGCTGGACCGGCCGATGCGGGGCGTTTCCGGTGCCGCGGGGTCCAGCCGGGCCTCCACACCACCCCTGGCGGCTGCCCTGTGTCCTCTCCCCTCTCTTCCCCAGACGGGATGGGTCCCGCCCTGGCCTCTACGCCTCACCTGGCACCGATTCAGGTCCTGGTCTGTGCGCAGGGCCGGTGCCGCCCCTCCGTCCCTCTCCCCACCAAGCGGACCTACTGGGCCCCAGGGGCTGAGGGGCGAGGTGGCCCTGCCTGCAGAGCTGCTGTGGGAAGGTGTATGCGCGTGATCGCCCTGACTACGCCCGCCAGGACTGTGGGGCAAGGGGGGCCGGCAGGAGTGTGTGGAGGGTGTCTCGTGTCCCTGCTGCCCCCTCCCCTAACTGGGTGGGAGGGGGCTTTCATAACTTTGGCTGAGGTGGTTGGGTTTGCTCAGGTGGGAGGTGCCTGTATCCAGAGCTGATGGTGCTACAGAGTGGCCCCTTGCCCCCAAGGTGGGGGACACAGTTGCACCCGGCCCCATAACTGCCAGGAGGGTGGTGGGCTGTGGCTGTGGCAGGTGTCACACCTGACCAGGTTGGAGCAAGCCTGGCCAGGATGGAGCTCCACTGTCTGGGCTGGGGGAGGCTCGGTGGAGCGAGGACGCCAAGGTCACTCCCTGCTCCATCGTCAGTTCCAGAGCCCACCCTCCTTCCAAAACTGGGAGTAGCGGGGCGTGGCTTAGCCACCCCGGGGCTGTGGGCTCCAGAAGGATGCTGCATCGTAATGCTCAATCCCGAGCGGTCCAGTTAAGGCCCAATGCCCAGAAACCCAGATACCCCTTTCTGCACCTCCCTCCCATACTGGGCCCTGGCTTTTCTCTCCCTCATTTGGAGGCAGTCACTCAGGGTCACTGGGAGTGTCACCGAGCAGTCAAGAGTGTGGGATTGTGACCCAAAGCGGCTCCTGCCCCAGGCACTCGCTTCCAGAGGGAGTTATCCCAAGAGTTTGTTCTCCGCAGGGGGCTTCCGGGAGGGGGAGGCCCAGGGGTGGAGTAGAGGAGGACCCCAGAGGCCAGGAGCCCGGGCAGGCATGTGAAGAGGGGGGACATGGGCTGGCTGCAGTGGGCTCCAGTGTGGTTGGCACTAATGGCTGTGGGTGGCGATGTGAGCAGAGCTGGCAGCCATAGGTGTTGTCGTGACCGTGTTGGGCAGTGTAAGTGGCGGGGTGGTGGCCAAGGGGGTGGTCAGGTCCTGGCAGGTGAACAGGACCTGCTTCTCCCCTCCCCTGCCCTCCCTAGTGACTGGACACTTCCCTGCAGGGAGAAGCTGCGGGCCCCTCGGGGGCACTGTGCTCCAAGGGCAGCTCAGCCTGTGTCCCCAGCAGAGCTGTCTGTCCTGTGACCCCCGCAGGGGCCTCCCTGCAAGACGCAGGCCCTGCCACTGGCCTGGAGAAGAGCAAACCGGGACCCCTAGGCCCCCCGGGCTCCCCCTGGGCCAGAACATCCTGTCCCTTCTTATCACATATTTACACCTCCCGCCGGGACAAGCCGAGCCCCTGCGGCTGGCCTCAGCACCCCCAGCTTGGTGCCCAGCGGGTCCAGACCTGGGGTCGGAGGAGGGCCACAGAAGCACCCTGAAGGGAGGGGTGGTGCTGGGCATGATCCCCACTGTGCCTCGTACCTGTGCAGGTGTCACCTAAACCCTTCCTGCTGGTGACAGAGGCTAGAGCTCCCTTTCCCTGACACCCCACAGGATGGTGCTTTTGCCCCTCTCCCAGAGGACAGAAGTATCCCCCCAGTGTCCTGCCTGTCTCCCCACTGGAACCGGCCACAGGGGCTGGGGCGGAGGCTGAGGAAGGGGCTTCCCCGTGAGCTGGACCTCAGGAGCCTGCGTCAGTGCTCTGAACCCCCAGGCCGGCCAGCCAGGGCTCGCTGCCGACGGTGGTGTGGGAAGCGGGTGGGGCAGCAGAGTCCAGGGTGCAGGGCGGGGAGGGGATCCCGAGGGTGCTTGGGACAGGCTGAGGGGAGGTGAGAACGAGGGTCCCGCCCTGTGCACCCGCTTGGAAGTTAAGGTGCAGCGGCCTCTGCAGCTCCCTCCTGTCCCTCAGCCCCTGCTCAGCAGCTCTTTCCTTCAGGCTTCACCTCGAAGCTCCCACTTTCCTGGAGGCACAGACACCTGGCACCGCTAGGCGCCTGCACGCCTGGCTCCCCGAGGTCTCTCCTGGGTTGAAGCTTGAGGCAGTGCCACCCTCCCCTAGCCATGGCCCACTGCTGTCCCTGGCTAGGCCTGGGGAGCGCAGTCCGAGGACGGGCGAGGGGCTGGCTCGGGGGTAACTGACCTGACCGTGTGCCCGGTTTGAGAAGCTTTCCTTGGGGGCTCAAGCAGGCTCCGAGGGGGCAAGGCTGAGAGCCTCCCGCTGTCTGAGTGGGGTGGGAGCCTCACTGGTCACCCATCTGTCCTGGGGTTGAGGTGCCGGCTCATCTCAGGGGAGGAAACAGGCCTGCCTGTTGCCGCCAGTGCTTGGCGCCGGGGTGCCCTGGGCCTGGGGGCTGGGAGGCTGGTCTACGTGCAGGTGGGCGGCGGATGGGTGGAGTTGGCTGAGGGACGGGGCAGGTGCTGGTGTCCCCGTGGAGGGGGTGCTGGGTCGTCCTGGCCAGGTCAGGAGTCAGGATGCCACAGGACTTACTGCACGAGCTCTTCTCTCTGGGGCCAGCGGCTGGCTGGCTGGACAGACAGGGACTCTGGAGCCTGGGGATGTCGATCTGCTCTGTGGTGGCAGCGCCCACTCCACTGGCGGGCACGGCGGGAAGATCAGAGCAAAGGCTGGGCTGGGACCTGATGCCGGTGCCAGCCGTGTGTGCTCCCCGGGGGCGCGGGAGTGGCCGTCGTCCTGCCCGGCCGAGGGCTCCAGGTGGCGGTGGCACTGTCCTGGGCAGCAGGCCTGTGTACCCACTAACCCAGGCGGCTTCACCAGGCTGTGAGTGTCCTTGGAGTGCAGCCTGCTGGGAGGGAGGGTGAGGGGAGAGTCAGGCCTGCCAGGCTCTGTGTGGGTAGAACCTTCTAGATACAAAGCAGAGATAGAGGAGACTGCAGGTTGGGTGGGGGCTCTGTCTGGGGCAGAGATGTGGCCTTAGAGGTCGGGAGGTCTGAGCGGCGGGAGGGCCCCGGGTCCCAGCTGCAGCCCCTGCCCTCAGCCACAGCCCGCCTCCCGGCCTGTGGGGCTCTGGGCTGTTTCCTCCCCACACTGCATGGTAAGGCTGCCCTTTGGGGCCAGGCCCGGCAGTGGCCCCTGCCTCTCCACCCCCTGGCAGCCTGGCCACGTCCTTGTCTGTCCCCCGCATGCCCCTGCCCCCCACCCGTCCTTGGACACTGGCCTTGGGGTCCTTGGTTAGTGGTGTCATCTCCGCGATGGGCCAGGGCTCTAGTCAGTTGCAGGGATTTTAAGTCGACGGTGTAGAGTTGTCGCCTGCGTGACAATATCTGACCGAAGAGGGGGACATCTCCGTCAGCCTGGAAGGTGCCCGCAGCCCCTTGGTTCAGTCCCCCCGACCCCGCCTTGGGCAGCTGCAGAAGTGATTTCTGGCCTGGTGGATGGATTTCGCCATTCTCGGGTTGCGCGTGGATGGGCCCCGGTGGCAGTTCTTGGCTGGGAGGGCTGTGCCACCCACCATACCCAGCCCCCACCCGAGGCTGTGCCAGCTGCCAGGTGAGAGGCTCCCAGGCACGGGCCTGGCCTCTGCGGGCACCCAGCCTTCCACCTCATTCCAAGGACGTGGCCAGCTGCCCGGCCATCTGCCACCCTGAGCCGTGTGGCCAGAGGGGCAGTGGCAGAGGGCCAGCTGACATCAGCCCCCCTGGGCCTGGAGGTGACGATACCACTGACCTGCCCTAAGGCGACCTGAAAAAGCCATGGACAAGAGACGCAGGAAGCGGGAGCATGAGCTGGGCCCTGGGCCGGGGCCGTGGGGGGTGAGGGCCGCAGACAGGGCGCGGGTTCGGGGTGCGTGGAGGGGGACAGGGAGGCCCCAGTTGATGGCAGGCCTGGAACAGGCTGGCCTTCTGTCCCAAGCTGTCGTGGGGTTGGGGTCTGCTCCTGGGCCCACCTGGGCTTCTGCCTGGCAGAGGAGGGGGGTCCAGCCAGTGCCCTAGGCAGTGAGCGAGGGTCTGGGGAGGTGCTGGGGTTGGGGTGGGGTCCTGGGCCCCCTGCTGCACCCTCTTGGCCAGCCTGGCCCGGGAGGGCCTGGAGCTCCCGGCCTCTGGGGACCGCAGCCCCATTATCTAGTGTTCTATGGTCTGTGTCTGGGTGTGACAAGGCCCATTTTTTCCTGCACTTGGAGGCTGTAATTTTCCTGCCAAAATGTTTTAAAAGCTTCATACACAGAAATATTTCGGAATTACAGGTGATTTTATTAAGCGCGTGCGCGTATTCTGTAGGCACGTGTGTCTGAGTTTTTGGTCGACTGTTCTGTGCAAATGTGCTTGAGCGTGGAGGGGCCTGGGGGCTTGTGGGGCAGCATGTCTGTGATGCGTGGCCAGGTCCGTGTTGTCGTGGGTGTCACCGTGTGACAGTGAGGGGCTTCTGTGACAGCGTGGGCTGAGTGTGTGTGCTGGCATGCATCTGGGTGACAGCCAGCGAGTGTCTCTCCTGCCATCTCAGGGTAGAGGCGAGGACACTTTGTGGAGAGTTAATTAAGGAAATATGTTTCTACTGGGGCCGGAGGTGGGGAACCCCCCTCCTGTGTCCCCCGGAGCCTGGACCGGCCCCACTTCCCCGCAGCCACCCTGCCGGCATCGTCCTCCCCGTGCCCTTCCATGCAGCCCCATGGGACAGCGTCGTCGTGTTTTCTTGCTGACTGGAGCCGTCCGCTGCCCTTGAAGGCAGAGCCAGCCTCCCCGGCACTTTCGGTTTTAAATGACATTTTCCCCTTTGCACCAGCAGCTCCCTGAGAGGCAGCCCCACCCGCCGTGGTTGGGCTTGGGGACTCGGCCTGAATTGTGACCTTCCGGTACCAGCTCTGTGAACCTGGTGAGGGGCCTGGGATCGGCCAGACCCAGTGGGTCACTGTCCTCCAGCCAGAGACCCTGACTCCCAGGGTCCTCCACAGAGGGCGGTCCCCCACGTGTGGCCTCCCCGCCCTGGCCCGTCCCTTGCCCGCGTGTGCTGGTCCGCAGTGTTGCCTTTGCATGCAGAGCCCGCAGGGTGGCCCCAGCTGCAGTCTTCCTTCCCCTGGGGTCCTTAGGGTTCCCACTAGACCCAGAGGCTGTGGGGATGAGGTGCGGGGTGTTTTGATGAACATGGCAGGGTAGCACAGCCGGGGGCGGCCCCTCAGCCCCTCGTTTCCTCTCCTGCAGGTCAGGTGGGAGGATTAAATGAGCCAGCACCTGTCCCCGCTCCTCTGTGCCCTGTGATGTCACAAGTGGCGCCTCCCACAGGCAGGCTCAGGATGCCCAGAGGTGCCGGTGGCCCAGCCTCGCTCCGTGGTGGCCTCGCCTGTGGTCGGCACCGTGGACAGCCCCTCCCCTTGCTGGTGGGGGCCTCCGCTGGCTCTGCGCAGCCAGCAGACCCTGCCCTGGCCTTGGGCTCTGCCCAAACCCAGCTGGGGTGAGGATGGCCGGGGTGAGGATGGCCAGCGTGTGGTGTGTGTATGTCCCCTGGCTGTGTGGCGTGGGCCAGGATTGTGCTGGCATTGTGGGGGGCACAGACCCCAGGCCATGTGTTCAGGTAAAGGGTCCTGGATCTGCCATGTGGGCAGCCTCCCCCAGGCCCCCTAAAACCTCATCAGGAGACACCCTGAGCTGGACATTGTGCTGAGGCCTCACAGGTTCGAGTCGTGGCAGCAGGCAGAGGCACTTGTCATCCGTGGTGGCCCAGGAACCACCAGGGCTGTGTGGTCAGTGCGGGGCAAGTCAGCCTCTGCGGCCGGCCCGTCAGTTCCCCGCCCGGAGCTGCAGCGCCCGCCCTGCCCCGGGAGGGGCTCAGACAGGCATGCTGGCTGCAGCAGGCGCTGCGGAGCCACATCTGGACCCCCAGCTCCGGGGGGCTGTTGAGCAGAGCTTCCTAGCCTGCGCCCAAACCAGCAGCGTCGGAAAAGGTGTTTGCGACTTTTAGACAGGACTCTTGTTTTTTGCTAAGGCGTAAATAGGGATGGGTGTGGTTGGCCTTGGACCCGCCACTGGGGATGGGCATTCATTCAGTGGGCCCTCCTTCCGCCCACCCTGGGCACGGCTCAGAGGGACCCCAAACACACAGGAGGCCGGCTGGGAGCTGCGTCCCTCCGCCTTTCCATAACTGCAGTCTCCTGCCAGCCGGGCTTCATGCGTGGTGCACACTCCCGGGTGAGTTATGGGGGACTCAGTGGCAGCCACCACCCTCACTCTGTGGCCAGGGCTGACCGCTGCTGGCAGGAGCGGGGAGGCCTCCTCGGACAGGGGCTTAGGGCCCACAGGGCCCACCTGAGGGGAGGGGTCTTTGGCGGCGTGGAGGCCCCAGGCCAGGGGCGTGTGGTTGGCTCGTCTCCCAGCCTCAGTTCACTTGTCTGGAAAATGGGGTGCGAGTCTGGCCGTCCAGGCTGGGGAGACTTTCGTGGGGTGACATGGGGCTCATGGTGGCCCTGGGCGGACATTGTGTCCTTCAGAGTCTGGTCACACAGCTTGTCTTGGGGCAGAGTGAGCACCCGGAGCCCCGGAGTGCCCTGCCTGGTGGGGGCACAGGGCCCCACGTCCTGCCCAGTCCCGTGGCCGTGCAGCCCCGGGCTGCCTGGCCTTCTCCATCGGCCATCGGCTCCCAGGTGGTCATGCGTGGGACCAGGTGAAGGTGGCCTGCCCCCAGCCCACACCCCGGAACACATCCTCCCGTCCGATCCTGAGAGGACCCACGGCCCAAGGCCTCAATGCCGAGGGCGGGGGCAGAGCCCCCAGCTGGCCCCGGCCCCCCGGTCCCCAAGGCCAGGCGTCCCCGTCACCGCACAAGGCTGAGAGCCTGTCGCTTTGTTGCCACCTTGCCGCCTTCTTCCTCTTTAACTGACTTCCATCAACGAGCAGCTGCGAAACCCAATGAAGGCTCCAGTGGTTGGGGGCGGCTGGGGCCCGGTGGGGTGTTCTCCGCCTGACACCCGCCGGCACTCCTGCGGGGCCCAGCCCATGCTTTGGGGCTTGCACTTGGAAGGGGACAGCTGGAGACACCCAGAGGGGCCCATAGGAACAGAGCCCTCGGTTGGGTCTCCCTGGGCTGCTCAGGCCGAGAGGCTGCGGGGCTGGGCTCGGAGGGGGACGCTGCGTAGAGGGGTGGCGTCTGGGGGCCCATGTCCAAGATGTTTCAGCAAGGCGCCTGCTTGTGACCCAAGTGGCGGAGTGTCCTCGGACAAACGACCCCAGCCCCAGTGCAGCTAAGCCACAGGCGTGGGACCCGAGCATTGTGTCATTGGCATGGACTGGGGTTAATGTGGGGAACCAGCCTGGGGGTTACACGGAACAAGACGGGGAGGGGTACCCGGCCCTGGGAGGTCAGAGGGGCGGGCCGCGGTGCCCTGGACGCCACCCTGGCTGCCTCGGGGCTCTGGCGGGACCTTGGCCTGCTGTCCCGGGGTGCAGGGCATGCAGATGGCACCTGACCTCCCCTTTCCCTGCCCTGCTGGTCCCAGCTGGGAGGCTGCGGCATCCTGGGGGTCGGCATCTGGCTGGCCGCCACGCAGGGGAACTTCGCCACCCTGTCCTCCTCCTTCCCTTCCCTGTCGGCCGCCAATCTGCTCATCGTCACCGGCACCCTGGTCATGGCCATCGGCTTCGTGGGCTGCATCGGGGCCATCAAGGAGAACAGGTGCCTCCTGCTCACCGTGAGTGCGGGGAGGGGCCCGTGGGATGGGGTGCGGGGCTCCCCGACACGTGGGCTCCGCCTCTGGGTCTCCCAGGCCAGGCCGGGGCTTCCTCTGACAGGACAGGGACACGCGTGTGCACACGTGTGCCAGGCTGCACCCCTCCATCCTGCACTGGGCCTGTCCTCAGCCCACCCCTCCCGGGACCCCATCCTGCCTGCTGTCCCAGACCTCGTGGCCCTGGGGCCCTCTGATTGGGCCCTAGCCCGACCTCAGCCTTGGAGATGAGCCGGGCTCCCGGCCCAGGGGACGTCCGTGTCACGGAGGGGAGGGGCCCCTGGGCCAGGCTCCTTCCAATTATAATGCCGTGGTCCCCTCGCACCGAGGACGAGGCTGCCATGTCCCCTGAGTGGGCCCTGAGATCTGGAGCATCAACATGGGGCTCACTAATGCTCGGAGCTCGGACTGAGGGAAAGCAAATTGGGGTCTCCTGGAGAGGATGGGGCCCGCTTACCTGCTCCCCACCCCGGGTCCAGGCTGCATTCTGTCTGTCCTCCTTTCTGGAGGAGTGTCATGCGGGGAAGCGGGGCGGGCCCAGGCCACCACCTCCACTCAGCTCGGCCCAGAATGCCAGGGGCCAGGCCAGGGCGGTGCCTCCGTGGCACTGAGTGGTGGTGCTGGCCAGGCGGCGTGCGTGCAGTCAGAGGTGGGGCTTCTGCTCCGGGTAGCCGTACCCCCACCTTGGTCTTGCCTGTGCTGGCAGTGGCCCCCCCGGCTGCCCCGAGGGCTGTGACCGAGGGACCACTGCCGTCTGACCCACCCCTGCCCCGAGGGCATCGCTCCGACTGTGCCCACCACGGGGACCCAGGCATAGGGCACATGTGTCCACTCGCCGGCCTGAGGCCTGTGCTGCAGAGGTCCAGTGAGACGGACAAAGCCTGCAGGTTCCGAGGGAGGTGGGGCTGAGGGCTGGGCCGGGTCGCTGAGGCCGTCCCCCAATTCCCAGTTCTTCGTGATGCTGCTGCTGGTGTTCCTTCTGGAGGCCACCGTCACCATCCTCTTCTTCGCCTATACAGACAAGGTATGGCCACCTCTGCCCACCCAGCCTCACCACCCAGCCAGGGGCCACAGCTCTGGGGGGGGCTGAGAACGGCTGTCACAGACCCCATGCTCTGTGTGGACGACAGTGGCCTCTTCATCCAACTGACGGGACCCAAGGCCAACGGTTAGGTTTTAACCACGGCCACTGGGGCCAGGCTTAGCGGGCACGTCGGAGGCCGTGCCGTCGCCAGCTGCGCATGGGTTGGTTGGGAACGCTCCCTGCTTACTGGCCGTTTGCCTAGGGCAGCGAGGGCCCCTTCACGTGTCTGAGTCCTCGGGCTTTAACCCGAGACTGTCTCGCTCCTCTGCCCTGCTCTGCCATGGGGCCCGCTCGGCTGGCATGTGTCCCCTGGCCTGCCCCCACAGTGTCCTTTTGGTGGAGCGCTTTTTTCTGGTGCCAGAAGACACTCCAGGCCCTTCTTGGGCATGTCCTGCCCAGCCCTGCCATGGGCCGTTCTCCCAGGCGCCCTGGTCCTTCATGGGATGTGGTCTGGGGACGGAGACCTGGGCGCCCAGTGCTCCTTGCCCTGGGCGTGGCGCTTCAGGGCCCCTCGGCTGACATGCGGGGATGTGTGCGCCCTGACCAGTGGGTGCAGATGCGGCCCGAGGGCCTGCGCCTGTCCGTCCGTGTCCGACTCTAGCCCGATGCTCAGCACCTCGGGTGGCCCAGGACGATGACGGGGCAAAGGCCTGGGTGCTGTGGGGGCTTCTGGGAGGAGGCGACTCCAGGGAGGGGGACGGGGCAGGCAGAGCGGGGTCTGCACGAAGGTGGCTGAGCCCACCTGGACGGGCCTGCTCACCCCGTTGTGCCTGCAGATCGACAGGTACGCCCAGCGAGACCTAAAGAAGGGCCTGCACCTGTACGGCACCCCAGGCAACGTGGGGCTCACCAATGCCTGGAGCATCATCCAGACCGACGTGAGTGGGGGGCCGGGGGGGCCGGGTGAGCCCCCGCCCCGCAGCGTCCCAGCTCGCGCCTCTCCCACAGTTCCGCTGCTGTGGCGTCGCCAACTACACCGACTGGTTTGAGGTCTACAATGCCACGCGCGTGCCCGACTCCTGCTGCCTGGAGTTCAGCGAGAGCTGCGGGCTGCACGCGCCCGGCACGTGGTGGAAGGCGGTGAGCCCGCGCCCCCCTGCCCGCCCCGGGACCTGGTGGGGGGAGCCGGCCCCGGTGACGCCCGTTCCTTCTGCAGCCATGTTACCAAACGGTGAAGATGTGGCTGCAGGAGAACCTTCTGGCCGTGGGCGTCTTTGGACTGTGCACGGCACTGGTGCAGGTGCGGAGTGAACAGCGGCAGAGGCCCTGCCCGCACGGGTCCAAGTTCATGGGGGATGGTCATGGGGGATGGCGACCTCTGGGGAGGGGACCTCTGCCACCTCAGGGGCAGATGGCTGCCCTGGGCTCCTGTGCAGAGACCCTGTTTCCTAGTGGATGGAGGTGCAGCCTGGGTTCCTGTAGCCCCAGTGGCCTGGTGCGTGGTGGCCACAGGGATGCTCAGTGCAGAGCAAGGGTGGGCGGCCCGGGCCAGTGCCCAGGTCCAGCAGGCGGGCCCTTGCTCCCCCAGCCGCGCTTCTTGGCCCCCACCCCATGAGTCCCGCCTGTCAGTCCCCGGGGAGCGGGAGGCTATGCTGTCAGCAACCTTGGTCGTCAGGGTGGCTGCCGTTCCTGGGGTTCGGACAGTGGGCAGTTGATGCCAGATTGATGGGTACCTGGAGGTGGCGGTTGCAGCTGGGTGAATGGGCGAGAGGCAGGGCACAGGGGCCTTCAAGCAGCTTGGGAGGTGGCACGTGGCCCAGCACGGAGTGGACAGACCTTGCAGCCGCTGGCAGAGCCCAGAGTGGCCAAGCCCAAGGGGAAGGTGGGTCTGGATGCTGAGCCCTCGGAAGCCCCGGTGCCCCATGCCTGTGGTGGGCAGGCCCTGCCCGGAGGCTCAGAGGAAGCATGGCTGTGATGGACCTGGACTGCCAAGGATGGGGGCACCCCCAGAGAAGGGGTCCGGGCCGGGGACTCAGGCTTGTTGGAGTTGGGGCACCCACTGTGGCAGGACCCCCTCTGGGCTTGTGGCTCCTCGGAGTTCCGGCCAGCCCCTTGTGTCCCTGCAGATCCTGGGCCTGACCTTCGCGATGACCATGTACTGCCAGGTGGTGAAGGCCGACACTTACTGTGCGTAGGCTGCCCGCCGCCTGCCACCCTGCTTCGCTGCCAAAGGATGTCGCCCTCCAGAGATGACCTCGGGGGCTCTGCACCAGCCTGGGCATGGGGGACGGGATGAGTGGGCAGCCGGGGCCCCTAGGATCCCTGGCCAGGTCTGAGCACTGGGACAGAGGAGGTGGCTGAGTGCTGGCCACTTGCCGGGGCTGGGGGCTTCTGGCGCTTTTCACTTTTACATCCATGTATTCTCCAGAGCAGTGTTTGCCCCCGGGACCCCGTCCAGGGCAGGGGGCGGTGGTCAGGGGCCTACTGCTGGTCCTGGTGCTTAAGGTGGGGCTGCAGCCCCGTCACCCACATTCCACGTGGGGCCCCGGCAGGTTCCTGCACACCTTAATAAAATGTGGGCAGCAGCCCCCACCACCCGCCTAACTGTGTCTGTTGCTGCTCTGATCCCCATGGGGTGCCACACCTAGGCAAACCCCACGTGACTGGGGAACCCCCACCGCCAACACGGGCCTGGTGCCTGGGGTGGGATTCTGGACACAGGCCCAAGTGAGCCACCAGGCCAGGCAGATGGGGCTCCTGCCCCTCCAAGGAGCCACAAAACTGCCGTGAAATTGGCTCCAAGTGGCACAGAGGCTCTAGAACGGCCCTGAGCCTCCTGACCGGTCCACAGCCCATCCACGAATGCCATCTCTGTCCCTGCTCCCGATATGCGGTGGCCCCCCGCCCCAGGGGTGCCCTAGCAAATGGAGTTTAGCTTTGTCTTTCTCATATCTATTCCTGTTTGTTCCCGGGAACTGCCCGTACTTTTCAATAATGCGGGCCATCGGGAGCAGGGCAGGCGTCACGGGGCCCAGAACCAGGGCAGTGGTCTAGCTGCATCTCGAATATCAGGCAGGGGCGGAGCCTCCTGCAAACACTGATGGGGAGTGAGGGTCGTGGTCTGGGGTTCAGGTAGAGGACAGGCCCATCTTAGGAGCATTCCGAGCTGACCCCCAGCACTCCACTCTGTAACCTCGGTTTCCCCATTTCTGCTGGCTCTGCTGTCATTGTTCTTGTGTGGCAGACCCACCTGGTGACACTTGCCAAGCACTGACTACAGCCACGGACACAATCTAGACCGCCAGGGTGCCTGGCTGCTCCCCGATTCCCCCCAACACTGCCTGTCCAGGCTCCATGGAGGCCACTGCAACGTGAATCTGCCACCAGAGCTAATACGTGGAGACGGGGTCTTGGGACACGAGGCTGACACCAAACCAAACTGCTGCTTACACAGCAGCAGCAAGTGAGCGGCCGAGGCCAGTCACGTCCAGCAAAGCCGGCCCCGTCTAACCCCACCGGCGCACTCTGCCCTCTGGTCTGTGCCCAGGTCCCGTCAGCATTTCTCCATCCTCGTGTGATGGAAGGCGTGACCGCCCCCTTGCCCGGTTGTCCCCAAGCACCCCATGTGAGGGCTCGCAGATGTGGGCCTTTGGCTCTCAGCCTTGTACATGGCCTCTCAGACTCCAGGCACTGTCTGTGTCCAGCCCTGACTCACAGGGTTCAGCCCTAGGACCCCCCTCCCAATTTCCCACCCCCTTAACTGGACCCCCACGTCTTCCAAACCCTAAGCTGAGGAGCCCCCACGCATACCCAGTGCCCCATCGGCTGCCCATCCACCTACACTCCAATTGCACTGTGGGCCCCCAGTTCAGCATAGACCGCCGACACCAGCACCCAGTGCCCCGCCCCTGAAGTGGTGGGCTCCACCCTCCTCTTCCCTTGCAGCCTGAAGTTGGGAACTGTGGAACTGAGGAACTCAGGGAGCCCTGCTGTGGCCCCGTGTGCTGGTCAGCGTCCCCACCCGCCGACCCAAGTGCAGATGGGCACCCGTGCATGCCCGTGACGGCCCTACCCCACCCTGGGTCTGGGGGGCTGGGTCCATTTTCCAGGATGAGCTGTTCCCAATGACCCGAGGGCAGGCCTAGATGGGGTGCTCTGCAGGGCCTGACCCACCACCTGAGCAGAAGTGGGGGCCAAAGCCACCCCCAGCGGGGCCAGATTCTGCCTGGGCCCTGAAGCTGACCGTCCGCTCACAGCCAGGCCCTGACCAAGGACAGACACCCGCCCTGGCCCCGGGACTCCCAGCGCTCAGGGACGCCACGGAGCTCGGGCTACGGCCTCTGGGGAGGAAAGTGGGTGAGCCAGGCTGGGCGCCGAGAGGCTGGGGTGACAGACACCAGGCAGAGCTGCCCTGCCAGGGGCCAGCGTGAGCAAGCACGTTGTCCCAGATCTCCCAGACCCACACGAAGCACAAGCCTCGGAGCATGTGCACTCCTGGCCACCAAGGGGCGGGGACTGTGGGTCCTCCCCAACCCTGCCCACGAGGCTGGGTGGGAGGGGCCTGTTTCTGGGGAGCCTGGCCCCTTTGCCCCCAGGGCCCGCAGCAAACACTGGCCAGGAAGACAAAAAAAGAGTCTGTATTTCGCATGCCGCTGAGAAGAGCACTGGGCCGCGGCGGGCCTACAGCAGGTCGTAGAAGTAGTCCAGGCCCTGGCCCAGCTCCCAGATGGACAGCCCGACGCCCAGCTCCCGGGCCAGCTCCAGCCGCACCTGCAGGGACTGCGGCAGACAGGGGTGTCAGTCAGCCTCTGCCTCGCGGCCCCATCGCAGCCCTCGGCGGCCCCCCTGACCTGAGAGCGTGCCCAGGTCTGAGCCCCTCCTCCCCGGGGTGGAGCAGCTCACCCGGCACTGGCTCCCTCTCCCCACTTCGCCCTCGCTGAGGACAAGGGTCATCGAGAGGGCCGTGCCTGCTGGGCCCACGTACCTTCAGAGTCGGGTAGAACATGACATGTCTTCCCCGGCGGCTTCTGCAAAAGACGGAACCATCTGCCTCCTGCTTTGGGTGCCCCCAGCCCTCCCACAGGACGGAGTGCGGGCCCTCCTGCTCCCCCCTGGCTGTCGGGTCTGGCTGGCAGAAGCCCTCCACAACCAGCTCCTCAGCCAGGTCAGCCCCCAGGGCAGGGGTCGAGCTTGTGGCCAGCCTCAGCGCAGCTCCCGCGCCCCGTCTGCCCAGGCCCAGCTCACACTCACTTCTTATATTCGAAGAAGTGCTCTGCTGCCTGGCTGTCCCACACCATCCGGGGCCTGTGCTCCTTCAGCGTCTGAATGTACCTGGGGAGGCCAGGAGGACATGTGTGGCAGCCCTCCTGTCCGTCTGGTGCCCCAGCCCCCCCAAGGCCTCGGCCACGGCCCGAACACCTGGACTAGGCGGCTGCAGCCATCACGAGAGTAAGACCACCTGGGGGCAGCAAGACTCGGGGCCGTGACAGGGCCACTGTCCCAGTGTCCAGAGCGCCGTGCGTGCGCCCTCGCCGTGAGGAGGTGCCAGGAGGCAGGACCGTGGGGCAGGGCCTAGAATATTGGCAGGCGGCTGTGGGATGGGCACCTCGCATCTCAGGGGAGGAGCAAACACCCACAGGCTCAGGGTCTGAGCGGAAACCTGTAGCGCCCAGCTTGAGTCTGGGTCGGCGTCCACCTGCATCACAGTGCTCGGTGTCCCGAGTGAACCCTTCGCTGTGAAATCCCTGAGCTGACTGTCTGGCAGGTGGCGTGAGGACAGCTGCAGGGCTCGGGGGCTGCTTGGGGCGTGGCACGTGGGGGTGGACAAGCCACAGGCCTGAGCATGACCAGGGCCTGGGTAGCTTCCAGAGGCCCCACGAGCCCCCACCCTGGCTTTCCAGGGACGGCAGGTCAGGGCAGGGTTTCCCAAACCTTCCAGAAGCCACGTCCTCCTGGCTAGCTCTACCCATCCAAAATGCCTGGACGGCCCTCGACTGAAGCACGGCTCCTGCTGCCGCCCAGTGCCCGTGGGGAGAGCCGGGCGGGGCAGGGCGCCCCAGCCCAGCCGGCCCGAGGCCCTGGTCCCACCCCAAGTCGTGGCAGTGCCCTGACTGTGCACTTCTCCATTTGTGGGGGCCTCCATGGTCACCCCCAGTAACAGCTGACTGTACATGAAACACACTCCTGGGGGACCCCACTTCCTGGTCCTGCTCACGGCCTGGCTATGATGTCTTCCTGCAGAAGGCCCAATCCAGGGGCAATCGAGGTAAAAGGTGGTCTCGACCGCTCACGGGCATTCCTCCTTGTCCTAGAAACCCGGTTCTCAGAGGAGGAGGAGCCTGGAGGGACCGGGGAGTCCCCAGCC